AAAGAAAGACATCACACTGTGAAAAGTTATCGTAACTGAGGATACGAGCGCTTTATAAATAAAGTTATTATTATTACTTACAGTAATATGCCTTTCCCCCAAATTTAGAAGGCGATCGATAATTGAGATAAACTGCAGAAGTCCGTTGGCGTGAAGTGCCTATACTGATTAAAATGTAAAATTAGAAAATCGAGATTTCAAAGGTTCAAGACTTTAGTCTGAACTGAGTAAGTTGGAAACGTTCCAAGTAATGGCTTTTTTTTCGGATCTAATTAATGTCTTGTTTCATAACGATTGAATTTCTTTCCCTTACGTTCAACTTCAAATAGCATTTCAGAGCATTTACAGCCATAACTCAACATAGCGTCATAGAACACTCCAACAAAATTTTGCACTCTACGGCTAATTTCGATACTGGCGCTGACGAAGCGACCTCCATTATTGATTAACCCTTTAACACCCAGATCAAATTTGTAATTCTCCTTACTGTCAACGATACAATTCTTATAATGTTAGTTCAGAGAATTTAGTATTGGATCAACCTATTATCTCCAAATTGATATTTTGCTATATTCTCAGTACTCATCTGGTTGATATTGTATTGATATTCTAAGGAGAAATTCTGTCTTGGTCACTCATGGGAGTTAAAGGGTTACGATCACAAGGTTTCTATCGAGAGGAAGTCATCGCGCCGATAAAAATTGTGTGACCCCACAAAGTTGACGACAGAGTGTGCCACGACTTGTTTCCTTACAGTCACAACTATACTGTAAACCCCTGAGACAGTCATAGAGTCATATTTAGCTTCTTGCATGCCTTGTCGTGTCTCGCGACCCGCTCCCCGTCTCTCGCACGAACAGTTCCATTTCTCCTCATGCGATATTTTTGGTGCGTTGTGCCTCGTTTGTCGGCATTGGTTTTCCCAAGTGAAGATAAGATTTCATATGATTGGCTTCTTCATTGTCACTTACGAAAAAAAAAGGTTCATTGGAGATTAACAGCAATCCTTCTTTCGAAATTCAGTTATGAACCAACCAATAACAGTTGTTATCGGTTAAGACGAACAGGAACTTGGATATTTCACTAAACATCATATGTCGTACAAAATCAGATTTGATCAGCTCCCTATGCAACTGCATAGCGATTTCCATTCCCTTTGCGGTACTTGGATCTAAGCTAATGAATGAATGGAATAGTTTATTTAATCATATTAAAGAATCAAATAGTATTGCAGCCTTTAAAAGGAATGTTTTAATTTTGATTTAAGATAATTAAAACTCCTATTTTTATGTTTGTAAATGCTTTCCTTACACTTTAATTAACAGGACATCCCTAGCATGGTGCGTCAGCGATTTCGGTTGTCTCCTCTACAACCTTTCTTTATTGTAGTGATAAATTTAATTTATTGTCTCATTGTAATCTAGTGGAGTGAATCTGTAATAAAAATAAATGAAAGAGATCAAATGAGCAAAGTAATAGCGAAACACGTGTGTTTTAAAACTTTGTAAATTTCCTAGCCGTCCCATACAGAACTAAAACGTGAAACACCGATTTTTACGTCCTCTTAGCAACGAAACCTCGACAGCAATTAAGTCGCGGTTTTACTTTGAACTCAACAAAACGCTAACGTTTTACCACACGTCGCGCGGCTATAGCGGTATGTTGTCCTGAAAATTTACTATGATTTTCATGATAATTTGGTTCTATCAACTGAGTTGATAACTAAGATGGCCGCCGTAAAGAGTTACTAAAGCTGACCTCTTGATTGCTAACCCTTCGTTAGAGCGAATGACGATGGGCTATCGCTCAAAACGTCAGCTGTAAAAACTATTTACGATGGCCGATTTACATGCACTATCAAATCAGTTGATAAAATCAAGTTATTTTCTAATACCGACGCAGTCTTACAGTTTCTTTAGAAACTTACCCCCTTTAGGATTTTCACTGTCCGTTTACGAGCAAGATTTAGTCGCTCAAGATTAATTGGTGTCTATTCTACCGTCTTCGAGAAGAGCCTTATCTAAAAATAAAATGATGAGAATAAAAACGTTTTTTATGGTTTGATTTATTTCCTGGTTCTAACTACGCGTGCAAATACGGCGAGAGTTTCTAAAAATGACCTTCCACGATTGGAATACAACTTGAACTGCAATTGAGGTATCTTTAAGCATACCTACAGGATCTCTAGCAAGCTTAATCAATTAACCTGTTATCTCTCGATGGAAATATCACGTACAGGATGTGATCTGAAGATGACAGGTCTTTGTAGACTTTGTAGACTTCTTTTCGCCACTGACAAAAAATTCTCCCTAGACAAAATTATTGATAAAATACGTTAAAAATAAAGATTGTAAACAATGTTTGCTCAGAGAGAACTCTTGTGTAGTTAAGACTCCTCTAAAATAGGAAGAAAAATTAATTGAAATTGAAAATTTATGAAAAACCTAACTTAACATAACAGAATGGTGAATTTATTTTTTTGGGGGGGATGGTTTCATTACCTTTGCGTTGCTGTACAAACAAAATTTTAGTCAACTGATTCGTGCACTTTACAGTTCATAGACACTAAACAAACACTGAAAAAAAATGGCCTCCTACGAAATTACGCAACAGCGTGCGCGTTTTTGGCCTTCTTAATGACAAAATTTCAGTCAAATGATTCGTGCGGTTTACAGTTCATTGACGCTAAAAGAACACTGAAATGGCCTCTTACGAAATTGCGAATCAGCGTGCGCGTTTTTGACCTTATGAATGAAATGAAATTTTGCCCTATATAATTGTTCTAAACAAGCAGTCGCGTGCTTCCTCATGCAGTTAAGGATTATAATCGCGTGTGTTTTTAGAAGTTCCACTACGCAATACCTGAGTACCTAAATAACGATTATGTTTCTGGGTACCCTTATTCGGAGAGATTCGCAGCGAGAAACGAGATTTATTACAAGTAACGAGTAATGAAGTAAATTTATATTCCTGTCCCAACCTCTGTTTTAATAGAAAAGTTCCTTCAAAAAAAGCCTTCAGGTATTGAGGATGACTGATTCTCCCGATACTTGTCTATTTTAGTTTAAATCATCGATGCAACAAAAAGGTCAAAAACACTTAGAAGAATCGAACCTAATCCGCATGTTACCAGTCCTTCAAAAGTTGCGTTTATCTGGTAACTAACAAGTTTCTCCCCCCCCCCTCCTGCTATCTTGAATCTTTTTATTTAGAATGACAAAACGCTAACAGCCAAGAAGACCGTTTCTAAGAACAAGTGAAGTATCCTTGTAAACTTGATAAGCTTCCTTGATGATATGATATCCAACTCAGTAGTTCGAATTCGCTGTGTCTGTCAATCAGGAAGATTACCTTGGAAACTATCATGCAACGGTATCAATATAGGTCACTTAACACGCGCAGAGGCGCCCCAGATGGATTTGGCTAGCGTTGAATGCTTATGGACAGCACTTTAAGTGAGAGGTGATAAAGGAAATATTGTTGATGAATTCCATACACTCGTCTTAGGTAGGGGAAGATTCGTCTGGTGGTGACGACAAAGACAGAAGATGAACGCGCAGATTTGTTTGTTTGTTTGTTTTTCATATGCTTATTCAATATGTTTCTTTCTTAATCCTGTTATCATTGTCGATTTGTGGTTTGGTAAAATCTCACATGTGAAAAGTGAATACAAGATGTGTTTTCTGTTACTGCATCTCATAGCATATCATTAGCAGGTCATGATTTGAGTACACACTTGCACGGTCTGTACTTTGAATAAGGAATACAGGGAACTCTTTTTTTCTTTGCAGACTTTCGCAAACGTATATCTTTTGAATAGACTATTACGCTTTACTTTCCGATAATCAAAACGAACAACCTTATTGGTTTCTTTCATACTCCTCTTTTTTTTTACTTGAAAAACCTACCATCCATTTGAAAACTCTTCTAGTGCGGGAAAATAAGGAACTTCTGCTTTGACATAACCTTGACTGCCTCGTAATTGATAACTAATTGATGCTTTCTCTATCGTGTCCACATCATTATGGTTTGCACGAAGTATAAGAATTTTCTATATACTTACTGGCCAAGTAAGAGGGCCAGACGGAAAACATCATCTCTTTTCACTGTTCTTCGTTGAGTAGCACCGCTCATACCTCAGTACTTTTATTTGAACTAAGAGGCATCCTCTGAAAACGTTCACATAATATACACTTTCAAACAAGGGATTTCAGAACTTTTAATCCTAGATCAGTGTCACCCGCCTTTCGAACAGGTATATCCCCTGGGTTTTTGTGTATCCCATGATTTTTTTTGGAGTATTCATTCTATTTAAAAGAGCCCGATTGTCTCTGACGCTTAAAGTATCATTACGAACTCCTTCAAGTTAGTTGATATTTTGACAGACTTGAATTAAAGAAAACCATTGAGTGGCTATGTGTCTCTAGAAAATTGCAACACTTGTCATGATTTTTTAACTGACACATCTCCCCTTCGTCCTTTCAATGGTGGTCATAAGAAAGTTCTTGGCGATGGCAAATGATTGACATCGATGAGAAGCAGGTAGTTTCGCAAAAAAGGCGATAGCCTTGCGTTTTAAATTATTTCTAAGGTATTTTCAATGCTACAAGAGAAGCTTACATGTTCTGTCACTCGTCCAAACTATACTGCCAGCCATCTTTGAGACTTTCTTAACAAATTAATCTCAACCACTAAAACGAGTCAAAATATACATATTTTCAAGGGCATGAAACATAATAGAACATGTTTTTTTTTTCCTAACCGGTTCTAATTCCTAAAACTGAGAATTGTGTCCATTGCTTGCGAATACATCATATTTTCGTTTGTCCTTTCGATCCTTTTTCGTTACGACAAGGGAAGACAGTTTTTTACAGAAATCATAATAAATTACTGGCTTGAGTGAGGAACTTTTAAAGCTAATAAAAAATCTTTTATTTGAGATGACAAGAACATTAATTCTCATGTTTACTTAATATTAACTTAAAACAACAACTGTCAATGTAATACACGCGACTTGCGTTTCATGCCCACATTCGGTTCGGGTCCAGGGGCCTCTTTCTCAAAAGTTCCGTTAACGGACCCGTGGCAATATTTTTTAATCAGAATTTTAAGATTAGCAGAGCAGGTTCTAATACTCTAATCAGTCCATTTTGTTTCTGTAGCTTACATGTTAATTGTATAATTTTCAAAACCCCATCTTGAATAAAAACAGAACAGCTCGGGGCCAGTTAAGTTATCGGAACCTTCGGGAAACGGCCCGTAAACTACGCAAGAAACGGTTGAAAACTTTTCAATACTTCCACAGTTAGGCCATTTCTGGCTGTTTAAAGCATTCACCAACACTTGTACCATTCCATTATACAAGACCAAGGAGGGTTCATGCAGAAAAATTGCCCTGTTGTTGATCTTCTTCTTTATTGCACGAACACTTCGATCCTCATACAAGGGTACCCAGAAAAGGTGACCGGATAAAATCGAATGTATCTTGCTTGGACTGGGTTATTCAGTGTATGTTTTACAATGGTATTCAAGTCTGAATTCGCTTCAAAGATCTGCAATGAAAAAAAGGAGAAACCACTTAATCATCAGGTAAAATTTATTCTTAAGTAAGCTACTTAAATGAGATTTCCCCTCCCCCCTCTTTCTCTGATATAATTTATTTTCTAGATATGTATTGAGATCTCATTTAACCCCTTCGCTGATATCACTGGACGAAAAAACAAAATTCCGGTCACGGAAGTGTTGCTAAAACCTGTGTTTCTATTGTGGAAACGTGACGGCTAACACGTGTTTACGTAGACAGAATCATGACATATACTCATATTTCCGTTGCTGTGGACACAGCGGAACCGGACCACTTTTCTACATGTTCCGATGGAGAAGAGGACAATATTTTTTTATTTGAAAAAATGTGAAAAACTCCAGATTTTGGAGATCACTGAAATTACTCTTTATCCCGAGCGTTATTTATTATTCTTACATCAATTTTAACTATTACTAACCGGTAAATCCTCTCTCAGCCTGCGCATGCGCACAGAAGAAACCTAAGACTAGAAAATGTTTAAAGAAGAGATAAAATTGACAGCGTACTAAAAAGTGACCGTCACGTGTTATACCTTTTCGACGTTTTGCTCCTTATATGCAGTCCAACTGGTGCCATCAGTAGAAAACGAGAGCCTGTAGCTTTTTATAAACGATCCGTTTGCCTTTCCTTGTGTGGCGACTCCGCATACTGTGCGCCCTGCTCCCATATCAACCTGTATATAGTTATCAGTGATTTTAGAAGACTGCTGACACCAACCGCTGTCTCCATTGAGCCGTCCTTTGCGTGGATAATAGCTGAGATAATTGGAACTCGCAGTGATTTGGGCATCAGGTACGATGTTTGGATCCTCTATTCCTAACGCCTCGCAAGATGGTACAGCTGGAAGAAATGTAAATTCAGAACTTTTGCACATATTATTTCAACACGCTCGTTGCGCTGGTAATCAGATCTTTGACACATGTATTCTACGTATTCCACGGCATTTTCTTTTGAGGTTTCCTTGTAATTGCTACTTAAAGTGTAACATCAGTTTTTTTGTACAACTGTAGATACCCCTCACTTCGGATAGAGGTCCGCAAACCAAGCTATAAACTTTGTTTTTCTGCTCGATTCTATGGCCCAGGCACAAAGATGGTCATAAATCCGAGCTGTAAAAAAACCAAGTTTTGTAATTTACATAGAGGGGGAAGGTTTCAATTGAAACAAACCTGTTTACTTTTGGGGTATGTACCGTGATTTTTAAGAGGCCTGCTAAAATTATCAATCATAGCGCACATAATAATTGAGATACAATAAATGTTGTTAGATCCGACATAATTTTCCTTTTTGAAAATCACTGTGAATGCTTTCTCTGAAAGACGGATTTTGTTTACCCGTGGCTCGCGAATGGCGACATCAACAAGGCTTTCCGTATTTTTGTCTATTGTACTTAATCACGTTGTGCACGTAGCTTCATTCAAGCTGCACTATTTTGGTTTTGCATTACAACTTGTGTCACCGCCAGACATACATTCCCTTAGAAAAAGGCTTTTGTATTGCTTGTTGCATTTCCTGTTACTTTGTGACACCTTGCTAATGACACCCAACCACAACAAAACCGCTGTCCAAAATTGCGGCTCTTTCTTGGTGTAAAAGAGACGTGCTCAGGACTCGTCAAAATAAAAACAGCCTCCTTAATCCATTGTTTTTATTGTTTTCCTTTCTACTCTACGGAATATGATCAGATTTTACGCCCTTTCGGTTAAAGTCGTCCAGGTCTGTGATTCACTTTTATTTAACAAACAGAGAAGCTTCGACTGTGCTCTGTTGTAAAGCACGCAGGGAGCGGCTAAAGCACGAAAGAAGTGTAAGGAGAAACACGAGACGTAGTCGAGTGTTTCTCCCCGCTTCTTGAGTGCTCTAGCCGCTTCCTGCGTGCTTTAAAACAGAACAGAGCACAGTCAAAGCTTCTCTATTTGTTTTATAATGAAGAATCCCTTAAATTCCCCAAGCAAACTCCCAAGCATTACTTTCAATTTTCAAAACAAACTTTATTTCCAAAGCGAGCAACAGTGTCGTCAGCATGCTCTATACTCTCATAAAGCACGCTACAATAAACCAATCAGAATCCCTGTTAGAATGGTTCAAATAATCTGATTGGCTGTACTAGACTAAAGCTGTCAAAAATGTCAAACCATCACAGTTCACATTCTGCAATAGTTTAAAAACTTGAATAGATCGGCAGGTCGAATTTAACAGTTTTTTAGTCTCTAATACAGAATCTGAAGGTGAAATGTTCTGCGAAACTTGGCAGAAATGTGGCTCATAAAAACACGCAAGTTTTTCATATGACAAGTAGAAAACAAACCGTTCAAGGCGAGTGTTTTAAGAATGAACGACAGCCGAATTCACCGGAACATAAGAATCGCTCAGGATGACAACACCGTGACACTCGGCTGCAGTGACTGATGTGGCCTTCCACTCAACGCATCGGAAAGGGTATCAGAGCAAACTCTTATTTTTTCACTCGAAGGGCGGCCGATGTACCTCCTGAGGCTTGCTTCACTACGATGACCGAAGATCGTCATGATGAGCTAGCCGCGATGGACCTCAGCGTGATTAGTATGAATTTTAACAGTTATGCCAGTTTGGTTATATTTTTCATCATTCTTGTTTTGTTCTGTTTTGTTTTTGATCACGAAATTTTACTTACTATTTGAGTGTTAGCTGCATCTGTTTCATTTTTATTACCGTATATAAGCTTGCCATCTAACTAAGCGTGAAAACCTCTAAAACTCGGACTGTCCGTTTCGTTTTCTTCTTGAGGATTTTCGTCTCTACTCACGTTACAATAACGTAAATTACGGCGCCCGGCCTGTTTAAAAACCTTTTTTTGGTTCTTCTGTTGCTACTTGCCGGCTCGATTGTTCCGAAATTTCACTTTCAATAAACGAAAAAAAGTCAGAGAGAAGTCCCGGAAAAGGTCAAACACAGCACAATTTGGCAGATGGCGTGACAGCTTTAGCTCAGCTCTATGCTCTATACTCTCATAGAGCACGTTCTTCCAACCAATGACAGCACGCGTTATATCCGAACTTTATTATAAATTAATTTAAACTTTTCAAGAAAAAGCGAACTGTTAACCCTCTTACCAGTGCAAGTTCTCCCATCTGCAATAACTCCAGGTTTACAAGCACAAATATACGAATCAAGGGTATTCTGGCAAATGGCATTCGTGTTACAGACAGGTAACGAGGCTTTGCATTCATCAGCATCTAGCAACAAATAATTGGATATACTTTATAAATTTGAAACTAATTGATAATAGGCCCTGTGCATGTTTACGTCAGAATATCCACTCTCACCCCCAAACCTCGTTTTCACGGTGTACTCTCATGAGTCTGAATGCGGAAGTATTTCCTAACCACTGAAATCAAAGGTTGCCCACATAAAAACAATAAGGTGGGGTAAAAGTTCCTGGAAATTTTAGACCGTTAGTTTTTGGTAAATACAGGAGCCCATTACTTAATGGGCTCCTGGTAAATAACATAATCGTGCACAATAGCTACTCTACTATATTTATCATATTTTTAGATGAAATATCAAAAACTTCCAGTACATAGACAAATTAATAAGCGGATAAATAATTAATCAAATAAGTAAATTTAAGCGAAAACAAGGAATGGAAGATTTTTGATGATGTTTCTCCCATTTTTGGTAGTTGGGATTAGGATCTCATTGAAAGGGATCAAATGTTGTAGGATAAAACAACTTGACATGGATCTACTTTACCAAAATAATAAAGTGCTTTATCAAGTTTTATTACACTGATGTCAACAGATACCAGCAATCGAGTTTTCTTACCCGCTGTTTCCATATCGCAAGGAACAAGAAGTGTTTTTCCCTTTATAATGGAATCAAGCCAATAACTGCCACTGGTCGCTTTCCCCTCTTCGCTTGCTTTTATCTCTTTACACGTTTCCGCTGGAAATTCAGGAACGGAGCCAAGAGGAACTGAAGACAGAGAATAATTGTATCAGGTTCAAATTCCTTCAATGAACACCAACACTAAGGCTACTTCTCGTTCAATCTCACCTCTTTTCTTATTACTCCTAACATAATATCTCTCAAAATTTGGCACGAAGTTCTCTGGTCTGGCCTCCTTAGTCCGGTTGTTTAGTTCACATACTTCCTCTGAAATGACGTAGTTGAAGCTGTGACATCTGAAATCATTGTAACATGCCTGATGGCATTCAAATGCAATCGATGATCTCATTGTCGTGAAGGTGTGTCCTCGCAGCATCATACCGGAAATGGCATGCTCATCCTCCTTGCACTGTTGAGCGAAAACTTCGTACACGTAGCACATGCACAGTACAATTACAATGCAGAATCGCATCGTCATTAGCATCGGCTCATCCTTTTCTGTAAGAGAAATTTCATAGACTGACATTTGGGTGATTTGGGTGGGAGAAAGAACTATAATGCGAAATTTTTTCAATCATGGTTGAAAATGAACCAGAATTAAAGAAAAAAAAGGAAGAAAAAATATACCAGTCAAAGTGGGGATGGATATTGACATGAGATGCAGTTTGGACGACAGCTGTGTTTTTTGTAAATCCAGCGAACTTAAAGAATTCACTTGTTTATCGCACAATCCATGCTCTTTTCGTTTTTGACATATTCATCATAACTTTCGAAGTGCGATATATCTTTCCTTTAAAAATTATTTCTGCCCGCCTTAAGACAGCAACTACCTGGAAACTTTGATTTAGGCGCACCATTACGGAATTATTTTTACCTTTTTTAACGATTCAGTAACAGTTAAAATTTGCCAACTTTTACGCCTAACGGTTAAAAGTTAAGGCCATTTTAAGGCCAAAAAAGAGATTCTCCTCTGCCCTGGCCTAGTGTCAAACAGAAATTTTGTTTTCGCAGATAAAGTCATTTTTTACAATCTTAGAACATGTTTCAGCGGAATACGGTTGTCTTTTGTTGACATATTCATTCATCTAAGATGAATGTTTATAATTGACTTACACAAATCTGTAAGAGAGAATAAACACAAAACAAAAGCAAATTTTACTGTCCCATCCTTTAGGAGGACGTGCTGATACAATATTGGAATTTTTATACGATCATAAATAAAAATAAAATAAACACGACAACTTAGAAAATCGGACAAGTTCTGCAAGCATTTTATAGTTTAGATGCTTTAGACTTCTCTTTACATATTTTTTATTTCTTTCAAAGGAGTTGTGTAGAGCTCATTAATCATTAAGCAGCTAGCACAGTCCTCAAACACTTAGATGTCTATTCACGCTTAACCAAAAAGCAACTGTTAGATTAGTGAAATGATTAAGAAGACTTGACTCAATAAACTTAGGGTTTTCGCAGTTCTAAGTCAAAAGTGGTTTGTAGATATAATTGGTAACCAAGGAATATATAAGACACGTTCATTAGCGCTTCTAATGGGTGAAATTGTCGTCCCAAATAAGAACCTTGTGATAACTGACTCAAATTTCAATGATTGCTGCGGACGACTAACGGCTTATTTTGATGTTGGGACAACATGCCGCTATTCAAGCCTTAAATAAAACCGTGTCAGTCTGTGGTCGCCGGGAAACAAGAAGGGAATCAAAATTAGAGCCAAAGACAATTTTAATTTATTTTTACAATCTTAACGAAAAATGTTTCGTTTGAGAAGAACGAAGATAACAAAGACCTGAAGCAAGTTTGCCCTTTGGAAGAAATACAATGTTCAGTTTCAGTCTCTTCGAAAAAAAAAGTATTCATCTCAGGGTAAATCGTTGATTTTTAATTCCACACGTCGCCATTATCTTCTCCTGACGAGCCGGTACGATGTAGTTTAGATTGATAAAAAATCGGTTTAAAGTTACTTCCTACCTTCGCGGGTGTCCTTTGCGAAAAAAATTAGAACGCGCACTAGTATCACTAAAATCCTAGCAAACTATACATCAGAAGAAAGCTTAATAACTGCAGTTTACGATAAAAATATAATTTAAGCGTTTTTTTTTAAAGGAAGTGTCGGGAGCCAGCAAGGCGTGAAACGACCGAGGGTTCTTCTATAGAATTTCTTTTGGTTGTATTCCTCCCGAAACCAAAGGCGAGATTTTAGCTCATAAAGGTTCGCAAACAACTGGCGCCACGCCTGGAGATTATCCCGCCCCCTGAAACCGCACACCAGTGGAACAACGTACAGGAAAACGGGACCTCCTCAAAAGAACTCAAAAATTCTTCTAACTGGTGTACATATATATATATATATATATATATATATGTATATATGTATTATATATAATAGGAATATTAAACGTTGAACAAAGAGAGAGAACAAATATTATCGGTCAAGTGGAATATTTACCTCTACTGTCTTGAAATTAAATATTGAAAATATGTGAATTTTGAACTTTGCATACCTTGTATACACCTTGTTTCTTTCCAAGCAATGTGATGCCCTCTCTAGTGGAAACTGTCAATAACTTTGTCCAGGAGAGAAATCAACTGTAAGATATTTGTATTACGTTTGTTCAGCTCAGAATTTAAGTTGTGCTACATTTCAATGGGAAACACCAGGTCTTGTTTAATTATTCAATCCTAATTTCCTCTGTGTTTGAATAGTTTTAACTTTGCGTTTTAGAATTATCTTGAACTTCATTTTAAAGCTGCGCCTTTGTCGAGGCTTTGAACACACAGAAAACGTTTAGCATCACAAAATAGGGGAAATTCGGGGAGGAAAATTGTTAATCAACAAGTCTCAAACAGATTCTTTAGGCGATATAAATCCATATTTTGTTGAGCGATACAGGAAAATAAAACTTTAAGAGCCCCTTTTCAACAAACTTGATATGCAGAATCCCTTTGACTTCGAAGGATATTTACAGCTTTCAGGTCAAGTTCAGTTCTGTGCAATATCTTGCAAAGCGCAGTGGGTCATAAGTTGGGGCCTTTGATAGTGACATCTACAAATCAGTATTGTTTACCCAAATAGCAACGCTGCTTAATTATTCATTTAATCTTAATTATTAATATGCCACTGACAAAGATCCATGTCCAACTGGCAGATTTCAAACCCTGAAGTTGGAAAATGAATTAATATCAGTCCATCTCGGTCATCGATACGCAAGTCGACCAAGTTACTGAGATGTTTGCGACGATATAACTTTCCTTAACACCTTTCCTTGGAATTGAATCAAAATGTTGAGATGTTCATACAAATTTTTCATCTTTCTTATTCTATTTACATCATTTATACTTATCATTTTAATTATACTCTTGACAAAATGTCAAACCATCCTCCTCCTGTGCAAAAATTTTGGAACGAATTGGAGTGCTCGTAAATTTAGAGTTTCTAGTTGTCGGTAAAAGACAGCGGCGAAATAATACGGTGACATGATGCGAGTAAAGAGCTCTCAGGTCTTAAGCGTAAGTTACATAACAGCCGCCAATTATTGGAAAAAATATTGTGATTTAGAACAGAGTTGATTTGGGAATATTATAAAAGTGAGGACTATTAGAATTAATTTTTGTCGCGTAAAGTCGCAAACGTCATGCTTAAAGTCACCACCTAAATGTTTTTATTTTTCAATGAAACGAAACAGTCTGCGATCATTATACCAAAGGATATTGTTAAAGAAAGATTCCCACAGATGGATGAAGTCAAATAAAACTTTTTCATCGTTTTGTTCAAGCAAGGATATTTATGAACATTTTTAGAAAGTTTAAGGGGGAGGGGGAGATAGAAATCTGTCAGATTGTCTCTCTGTAGTATTCTATTGATCCCCCATTGGTAGCGGTGTGCTCGTAACCAATGAAAATCAGGTTAAAAACACAAATGCATGATAACTAACTAAAGAACATCCACACCCTCAATGAAGGTGTTCATAATATGCCATGCTTCTTTATTCTGGGCGTCTCCTTTATTATCTATGTTAGTGGTGTGGATGTTCCTTAGGCCTGAAAAATCTCGATTATAAGGAGAACTGTGAAAAAGGAACCAAAAGGAAAAAAAGAAAGAAAGTAAAAAGGAGGAAAAACATGCTGTCATTCTCAAGTTGCCTAATAGAAGATTACAGGAAGTGAAGGGCAAAACGTTACTGCGTTGGCATGTAAAGGTAATCTATATTGACGTAAATATGTTGCTTAGAGCGAGTAGTCAAAATAAATTCAGTAAGTCATCCCACTCAATCTGGACTCAGTGTGCGCATCTTTTTATCAGAACCTTCGACTTGCATACTCATGTTGAGGAACACTTGTTAAAATTACTTGCGCAGCGATCGAAATAATCTCCCAGAGAAAATCATATTGCCAATACACTAGATATAAACTATGGAAAGAAGACTATTCGACTTTCTTAGATATATCCCTGAAAGCCGAAGGTGACTGATAATTTTTTCGGACGCAGACAATGGTCGTTTTGTTTTAGGTTTTGCCAAGAGAGTTTGATATAATAAACGAACTAAATTCAAAAGGAAACGTCTTTGGACTTTACAGTGTATATGTATTCAGCTGTGCCTCATCTGCTAAATTACATTAATACCTTTTATAAGTTATATGAAATGTTTAAAGCGGACTGTAAAAAAAAATTCGGATAATAGGGGACTAATATTTCGTACGTTTTTAGGGTGCCTGAAGGAAACCATGCAAAAGCTGTCTGGATATTTCGCCCAATAGCATGTTTTTCCCTATATAACTAGTTCGTCCCCCGCCTCGAGCAATTTTTCCCATCAAAGATAACGAGGTCATCCCCATTTTTAGGAGTTCACCATCAAAATCATTCATCTGATTTCCTTATGGCAAAACGTATTTCTTTTCGACGACACCTAAATCCATTTTGATCAACATGACAGCACGCAGCATTTTCCGACTCTCACTTAGGAAATCAGCTTATTGTTGATGTAAAATGAGTTGTTTATTTCAGGCATATAATCGACTATTTGTGTAATTTTAAATACCCTTAATGTTAATCAAAGCCGGAGTTTCAAAGCCACTTAGTATGCTAGCAAATTCAAGCAGTCTAGTGGGAGCACGAAATTTTCATGTTTGTAGAAGTTATTGATATTTCGTAAGAAAAAAAAACTTTTGTAAGAGGGAAAGGAGTTGAAATGGTAAACCGGCGAACTGGTGAATTTGTTATGTTTGATGGGGCGACCTGGTTGGGAAGGGGGGCGAATTTTTTATATCATTACCCAAGACATCGGCAAAGTGGACCTTTGAAGGCTAGGAACGACAAAAGTTGGAAACATCAGGAAAAAAGTTTTCTTAAGTTGTAGTATTATGTTTCTTGAGCATCAGTTTTAGAAGGATTTTGACAAATACTAGATGAACTAGGACGAAAATAAATTTATAACAAAACGTAGTTGGCAAACATGTTTTATTACAACGTCCATCATCCTAACTAGAAATGACGGGCATCTTGTTTATGCTCAAATGACATCATAATTTACATTACTAACCCTAAAAAGTAGTCGTCACACAAACTCGTTTGTCCAAAAGTGTTAACTTGAAAGAAATTTGCAGTATTTCAATTACGAGTGACAAAATCTTAATGTCATTCTACGCCTTTTCAAAAAACGGCAGTACATTACATTTTTAATAATATCAAGTTAGAATGAAAGCTGTCACTCAATCGTTATTGTCCAATGATGTTCAGACTTGTGATGACTTACTCTAACTACTTTGTATAACTGAAATTACATTACATCAATATGATATTGTACAAATGGCCACAACATAACCAGTTTGGGCCAATCATCTTAACTGTAATGAGTTTCAAAATCATTTCGTCGTTTATAAACCATACTGAGTCACTTTTATCAGTCGAGTGACGGATGAAATGAGCCTCATTATCATAAATATCCATTAAAACTATGCTTGATCGCAACCACAACTGTAATATGTTGTATATTAAATAGTATTTTTAAACTAGCTCAAATGGTCGATGTACAACATTGTATCAAAACACTTTCAAACTGTGGAATTACAACAGTTTCTCTCAAGTACTCTACCTTACCGAAAACATTGAAATTTTTCCTATATAGTCTTATCACATTGGTCGGAGACACGAATGTGCGGCCACTACTTTGGCAAAGAAGGTTAAGGCTTACTCACACTCGAAACAGTAAATAATATCTTACATACTTGATAACAATTTTAAATAATGCAAATAACGAAAATGGATAGTGATAGAAACCAGAACGCTAAACAATATAAACTAATGAAATATACACATTTTTTTAAAGGTACTTCTATTTGTTTCAAAAGCCCAGCACCATCCTAATAGTTACAAATTGATCGGAAAAATGTTTATTACACAGCCAACTCTGTCCGAATAAGTTGATTTCAAAAGATTCTCAAGAAGATTTATCGGAGTCCTTATAATTTTTTTCTCCTAAAAGACTTATTTGTTTCTTCGTATCGCATGAGGCCTTCTGGTTTCTATCACTATCCGTTGCCCCAGATCATTTCACCTACTTACGCCTAAAATCTTGTCCCCAAGGAAATAAATATTTATCATGTGAAAAGTACTTTTGTGAAATGAACGAGTTCTTCAGCTGCCATATCAGTAACAAGCTCAAGGAAAAGTATGCAGGTGAATGTGTGGCTAAATTACTAAGTCTTCTAAGAAAATGGAATTCTTTACATATTTGAACACCATTTTCGAAAATTTTGTTTACTCTCTGAAATGTCAGAACATGTCAAATAATGGTGGTGATAACAGTTATGCGGTTTCTGGAGCACACATTTCCATTGAGAAATTAAATGAGACCAACCAACTACATCTAAAGGTCGAAAGGCAGCTTGATCACGGTTTTTTAGTGGCTATGGAGATGTGCTTTACGACATAAGTGATTTAAGTAATGTAATACGTCAATTGTAGGAGCATATTTGATTTAAAACACCGATTGCCTTATGCTGGCATTTTGTTCAATGATTCCCCAAAAACGTAATATCTACCATACCATGACCAGAAGATGTCCAGCTACGCAAGTTATTTCGTTGATTGCTCCCGACATTATAAGATCTTCCCCCACCACCACAGGAATTCTTTCCACCACTTCCACCGGAGTAACCTCCGCCACCACCTCCCCCATGCCCAGAAGGTGAATGGGCCCCACCACCACCAAATCCACCAAATCCCGCCATTGAAAAATCGGACAAAACTTGTCCGCCCGATCCGCCCTCAAGAAAGCCCTTACCACCGCTATCTCCATCTCCTACACCACTGGAGTAAAATCCGCCTCCGCCACCTCCGCGACCTCCTCCACCTCTGCCACCTTCGCCACCTATAGTAAAATAAAACAAACAAGCAAAACATCATTGTGATACATCTATCTCAGTGCTCGTATCGAACACGCAGTCGGTCTATCTTATTTCTGTTGTTATTTAAGTTTCTCGTCGACATTATTCTCATTGTTCGCTTCATCCTTAAGGAACATGATGTTTCAGTGAAACAATGCCAGAAATTATTTTGTGCATTTATGCGCAATTTCTCTCCCTAAAGTGACTAGCAAACAAGCTATTCCTTTCTACTCGTATGCATACTTCACATCCTTCATAAAGCTCGTATCAAACACACATCCCTTTATTGCTTCAAAAGTCGCCAGGAATTTAGGTTCTTGTTGTCTGGAATTATTGCGTCTTCGTCCAGATTGGTATAACAGATTTGCAATACAGCATATTTACTAATTATTTCACGACAGTGAAATTAGGAAATAATTTAAAGGAGATTCAACGAAGACTCTCATTCCTGCATTTGCTATCAGCGAAATCAATTATTGTAATGCTCTGCATTACAGATCGCCGAACTCTTATTTATGAAAGCTTCAGCGTGTGCAAGGTTCGGCTCCTAGACTTATTTTTGTAGGCACCCGAGTTTTGCAAAACCTCACCAGTTTTATTTAAATTGCACTAATTACCTGATAAGTTTCGCAGATATTTTATTCATATTATATTTTTATATTGGTCTTTGATTCGTCGGCAGTAGATTTTAGAAATCATTCAATACTGAGGTGAATGATTGTTTTAGTTTATAGTACAAAGAAACAAACGAACAAAATAGTTATTTCTGTCGATATATCAGAAAAAATTTGAAAATTAACTCTTATCGCGCGATTTTGTCCCTTCGGCTGCTCGTAAGTGCATAGCAAAAGGTAGGTGAATAAGAGTGAGGTCGTTACGGGAAGATCTGAAACTGAGGCTCCGATCGATAGCGAAGTCAATACGGCTGGGCCATTGTATGAAATTCTACTGAAGCACCCGAACAAGCAAGGTCATAAGTTGTTTATTATATATTAAGCTCACCAATTGAAGAACGGAAACATTTATATTCAAGTGGAAGTCGCTACCTTCATCTGGTGAGGCGCGCGACTACTTATTGATTAATCCACTCAAACCCAGGGCTAAGATCGAACTGCGAATTTTAATTCAGTGAACTTCACCGCTGCGGCACCTATTCCGTCAATAACACATTTCGAGAATTTTTTCAACCTCTCAAGTATAAGATGAGGTTATGTAAAAACGGGAAAAAGTTCTACATTGCTTTTACAATATATCTGTCTAATAACGTGACCAATAAACACAAATGTTGTTTATTTTCTTCTGAATTGACGTAGATTTTCGTAGTACGTCCTATCACGCTGGACAACAGTATTTCCTACTAGCCACTCAATTGGTGCATCTAACAACACACAAACCGATCAAAATTCGTGTTATAGTAAATCAAAGTCAAGTTGAAACTTGTGCCAAGCGCCAGCACCCTGTGAATGAGACGATTTCAGTCTTAAATCCTCTTAAATCTGACAGAAAAATCGCAAAATGTTAAAAAAATATACTATTCCTTAATTAAGGGAAAGAAATTCAAGGAAAATAAATTTCACTACGGCTAATCGCTTTTGAAAGTAACGAAAACTTTCGACGGAAACCTATTTGTCAGCTGGAGATCATGGATGAGAAGCTGAATTGCTCATAGTGCTTTGTGTAGTTTTACTAGTTAGTAAACTTTGCTGTCCCACTCTGAAGGAAAGAAGTTAACGAATATCATAGTCATATGAAAGAAATTTTTTACGCCCAGAAATTTTCAGAGAAAATTGTATGTTATGAAAAGTTTGAAAGCCAAAACGTGAAAACCTATGGACTCTAAAATCTGTTAATGGTATTTTGAAACTGCTTTGCGAGTACTGCAAAAGCTTTGAGTTTGAAACATTTTCAAATGTGTCCGAAAGCACAACTCGTGACATCACAACTGTGTTTACATACTATAATGTAAATTCACCAGTTTGCCAATAAGTGGGCACGTATCGCAAATATTTCATAATAACCTATAATGATTATCTTTTCATAACTTTTGACGGCAGAAACTAACGAGGAAAAATTTGTGTGAGCTTTTTTGATAAGTGATATGGGTACCCAAACTTTACCCTTATAATTAGCATTCCCTGTTCTGTTTGTGTTGGCATTGCATCTTCCATGTCTCTTCTTATCTTCAAGCCCACCTCCTCCACCTCCACCAGCTATTATCAATGGCGTGGAATTTCCACTCACTACAAATGTACCTCCACCGCCTCCTGGGCCCCATGCTTTAATATTGCTCCCTCCTTCTTGGCCAACAAGCACTTGTATGACTTCACTCATATTCAAGCGGAATTTTCCTATCATTTTTGCTCCTCTGCCTCCGCACTGAGGACTGTAAGGGGACCGATCATCACACCCTCCCGTCGCTCCTATGGCTTCTATTCTGTAGTAACCAGTGTACGGCACGGTCCACTGTTGAATACCGTTAGTTATCGTAACTTGTCTGTAATTATCCTGACCTGCGTAAGGACTATCTGACGCTAATGGACCATGACTTCCATTCGCACCAAGGTTTGTAAATACGGCATGGAATGCTAGGTTATAGAGAAGATAACCTCGGTTTTGCATCAATTGTCAGTTAAAGGTTTCTTTTGCTTCGTTAAAGTCCTTACCACACAATTTTTTTACCACTCAAGGCGCCTTTCGGCCTTACGCGGCTACGTTACCCGTCAATTCAAGCCGTTAAAACTTAAAACGAGGAATTTGATCTCAGAAATTAGTAATTGGAAAGGCAGGTGCGCTTCATTTCTAAACATCAAACCTATGTTCCTGGCGAAGAAACCCAAAAATTTGAACTTGTTCTATGACGAAAAGATAAGTGTATATGAATCATATGCCAGGCTATTTGTCAGTGGAAACAAGCAAAGAAGTAAGCCGATTAAAATTGTTGTTGTTGTTAGATAATACGATATTTCGAGAATTCTACCTTGGCATTTGTGTCCATTTCTAGTGAATCCCTGCTTACAGTAGCAGTTGAACGATCCCTCGGTATTTGTGCATGTAGCATTGTTTCTGCTACAGTTGTGGGTATCTACAGTGCATTCATCGATGTCTAAAATGACATCAACAGAACGTACAATGATGATGATAATGAGTAGCCGGGCAAAAGGGGAATAGGGGCTGGGGTAGGTCTCCAATTTGCATCGTGAAAATGACAGTCGCGCCTGTTAGTCCAGTGTCTAGAATCTCAGGTCATTGAGCATGTCCTATTTTATGTCAGCAGATCTGAATTTTTTTTTGTGATGATATTACAGAACACCATGGTTTGATAACTTTCATTACCTTTACAGTTGTGTCCATCGCCGGTGAATCCAGGACTACAAGAGCAGTTGAACGATCCATTAGTATTTGTACAAGTCGCATTGTCCCTGCTGCAGTTGTGGGTACTTGTAGCGCATTCATCGATGTCTGCAATGAAATCAACTGATTGTACTCAATCTCATACAAGTAAGGAGGCTTCGATATACAATGTAAAACTTGCAGTAAAGACAACTTAATCAGTCAAAAAAAATTTGTCAGCGTAAGTCTTAATTAGGTTCATCAAATGTTGTGTCTTGGTAGAAAAGAAAAGGAGTAGGGCTGTTTTTTAAAATTTTTCTGGACAATAAGGTCAGGCCATGTACGTTTTACTTGCTGAAACGGGAAAGCAATCATACTTTGAGAAATTCTCACACCTGCACAGTTGTGTCCATCCCCGCTGAATCCAGGATTACAAGAGCAGTTGAACAATCCCTCTGTATTTGTACAAGTGGCATTGTCCCTACTGCAGTTGTGGGTATTCTGAGCACACTCATCAATGTCTGCAATGAAATCTACTCAATGATATGTGCTACCATGATTGTAGGGGAAGAATGAAAAATATACATTTATTTCAAAAATAATGAAAAAATATATTTATATCAAAAAAATAATAATAATAATGAGAAAAAAATAAAACTGGTCGAAACGACAGCAACGCCCGCTGATCAAGCTTAACCGACAATAATTGTATATCCAATGGAATAAAAAGAGTAAAGTATTATCTAGATCATCAAAAGCGGCTTCTGCCGAGATATTTAGAGTTATTTTATTTTCAAAACAACAAGAATATCAGGTCATTATTTGTACTGCCTTCATTAATGACTGACATGGCCTGACGAAAATTTATTACCTGTACAATTATGTCCATCCCCACTGAATCCAGGTTTACATATACACTTCGAAGATCCATCGGAATTTTCGCAAATAGCGTTTTCATTGCTACTGTTGGAGGTATTCTCAGCATCTCCGCCGATGTCTGAAATGAACCCAATAGTGTGTACAAAAATTCGTGATACACGATGTTAACACAATGGTCTGCGGTTATGTAAACGTCATAAAGGCTAGGTGGCGTAAGATGTGATGTGTAAGATTTTACCTTGGCAGATGTGTCCATCTCCAATAAATCCAGGATTACAAGCACAGTTGAGCGACCCCGCGGTGTTTGTACAAGTGGCATTCTCCTTGCTGCAGTTGTGGGTATTGTTGGCACATTCATCGATGTCTGAATTGGAATCAACACACCGTGCTCATGATCATGATTACGAACACCTAAGCTGAATGGGAAAAGGGGAGAGAGGGCTCCACTATATGACCATCACGTTTTTAATAATAACAGGTTAGTATATACAATGACTCTACTTCGGCCAGTTGCGTAGGTTTTGTTGTGGTTAAATGACAAATTATCATGCTCTAAATAGTGTTCAGCACCTGTGCAGTTGTGTCCATCACCACTGAATCCAGGTTTACAAATGCACTTGAATGATCCATTGGTATTGGTGCAAGTAGCAGTTGTGTAGCTGCAGTTATGGCTGTTTTTAGAACACTCGTCAATGTCTGAAATCAAATAAGAACTGTGTTTCAGGTATAGCAATAAGGAGAAACACTAAGAAAGGGATGAGTATATATAGCGAAAGTTTATGAATTTTTTTTGTCACGACTAGAATTATACATGGGGCTAATGGGCGTTTTTAGGGAGTAAGGAATGCACCTCTAATTTTTCTGTTAAACAAGATCAGACAACCGACAGAATTAAAACTACAATCCTACAAACTCAACTACTTTTGTAAAAAAACCTGTAATTTTGTTAATGAGCAGCGGTCTCTAAAGACAGTACAATAATAAACCGCACTTAAGCCCACTACAGCCTACATCACAGTTGTCTCCAAAGTTCCTCAAAATGAACGATCTTCCACAGTAACTAGGTAAATCCCGACAGCAGTAAATACTACTACTACACGGCATCTCGCGTTTCTCCACATGGAAGCCTAAAGCCGCGGAGCAGACGAAAAAATTCAACCTGCTTAATCGCAGAATGGTTGATCCTAACATCGAAGGTCTAAGTAATAGCCAATTTGCAGAGATTGGGCCCCATTAAAGCGTGGATGTCTCGCGCGAGGTGTAGGTCACAAGAGGCAAGTGACCAGTTAAAACTTGAAGTATTGAGAAACCTGCTCGATTCGTGACACTCTTACCATCCGCAAGCGTTTTTAAACTTCTGTCTTTAAAGATTAGTTTTGACCAAGATATCATTTAATGACTTTCCTTTGCGAATAAGTGCGTTGGTTTGAATCAGGGGCCATTTCCGCATCGGTATGTTTTCGTGGTTAAGTAAAGCAATATTTTCTTCTTTGTCCTTTTTTATTTGTTTTTGAGTGACCTTTCTCTACTGGAGCAGATAACTCCAGGTATATATTTCTCCAGAAGTTTTTCAGGTATCCTATATTCCCTTTCAGCGTATTTTCAAGCTCTGTGCGTTTTCATTAAATGTGGAGCGCGTCGGATTTGTTCTTAGGTTGCTGCAAAACGCTTCTCCTTTTGCGAATCCTTTCTTCATACCGCTGGTAAAAAGTGTTGACGGGCCAGCAATTGAATGTAGTATGAACGACTTTCTCCGCAATTGCCCGTATGTAAACAAAGACGGGGGCGTGGTTGGCTAGGATCCTTTAAGAAAGTTTGACGTTAACGGAGGCTATCTAAAAGTTAATCCAAGTTTTTTTTTTGCCCGAGACATACCTCGATTTGATGGACAACTTTCAAATCATCATCGAAATCAGTCAGTCGTCCAGTAAACAAACGTTTGATTTGCGCCCTCAAGGAACAAATGAGGTCTTTCCTCCTACGGATTTTATCCCCGAGACTATATTCATCCGACGTGATAATGATCGCGGCAGTTAATCCAGGCAAAGCGATGGGTAAAAGGAATTTACAACTAGGATCATAGAACCGATGTTCCTATCGAAGAAACCCAAAAAATTTGACGTTGTCTTATGACGAAAAGATAATTGTGTAAATATGAAGCGTATGTCAGGCTATCCGTCAGTGGAAACAAGCAAAAAAGCAAGCCGATGAAAATTGACGGAGCTTTAGATGATTTAATAATACGATGTTTCGAGAATTCTACCTTAAAAAAAACCAAAAAGAATAGGGCTCTTTATAAAACTTTTTGTGGACAAGAAGGTCAGGCTATGTATGTTCTACTTGCTGAAACGGGAAAGCAATCATACTTCTCACACCTGCACAGTTGTGTCCATCCCCGCTGAATCCAGGATCACATGAGCAGTTGAACAATCCCTCTGTATTTGTACAAGTGGCATTGTCCCTACTGCAGTTGTGGGTATCCTGAGCACACTCATCAATGTCTGCAATAAAATCAACTCAATGATATGTGCTACGATGATTGTAGGGGGGAGAATGAAAAAATATACAGATATTTAAAAAAATAATGAAAAAAAAAACGCCTGCTGATCAAGTTTAACCGACAATAATTGTATATCCAATGGAATAAAAAGAGTGAAGTATTATCTGGATTATCAAACGCGACATCTACCAAGATATTTAGGGTTCTTTTATTATCATAACAATAAGAATATCAGGTCATTAATTGTACTGCCTTCATTAATGACTGATATGGCCTGAAGAAAATTTATTACCTGTACAGTTGTGTCCATCCCCACTGAATCCAGGTTTACACATACACTTCGAAGATCCACCGGAATTTTCGCAAATAGCGTTTTCATTGCTATTATGGGAGGTATTCTCATCATCTCCGCCGATGTCTGAAATGAACCCAATAGTGTGTACAAAAATTCGTGATACACGATGTTAACATACCTCACTTAAGCCCTCTACAGTCTATATCACAGTTGTTTCCAAAGTTCCTCAAAATAAACAATCTTCCACAATAACTTGGTAACTCTCGACAGCAGCAACTATTATTACGACACGAATGAATCCTTATGAGCATTTACAAAGTATTCTAGAACATCCATGGAGCTCACAACACAACTATTTTGGTAGTATTACATCATGACTACGTGACATAATAGAATGTTCTAGAAAGTTCCATGGCATGCATGCAAGCATGACTAAGCATTCTAAAAACTTATTGATATTTATCTAACAGTTATTATCCTTAACGCCATCCCCGCCGAATTCAGGATTGCAAGAGCACTTGTAAGATCCCTCGGTATTGGTGGAACTGGCATACTCGCTACACTTGTGAAAATTTAGAACACACTCATCGATGATTGAAATTATATGATTTATTACGCTATTTGCCAGCAGTTTAGAGTGAGGAGCTGCTGCGGAGAGGAAAATTATTCGCCCCATTTTTCCCGGCGCAGAATGCCTATCATAGGCTGGGGTGAGACTGCAACTTGAAAGAAGCAGGATAGTCTTTGAAACAGAAAATGAATGCAACACTTAAGGGAGGTGGTTCAAGTTCTTTCCTGTTCATCCTAAACAAGACACAATACCCAGAGTTGAGAAAAAGAGCATGAAATTTGAAATTGCGCCCCCATACTTCTTTCCCCCCATAATGGGTCTTATTAAATATGTGTCACAAGTACAACCGATTCTAAATCTTGAACCCTCTGAAGAAATAGACCAGTGCGTTAAAATTAAAAGCAAAATTCATTTCTATCATTTTAAGCGTCACCTTCCTCACAGTCGTGGCCAGTGAATCCAGACGCACATAAACATCGATATCGTTTTCTTGTAAATCCCGACTGGCAGGTGCCGTAATTTTTACATGGAGCTTGAGCGCAAAAATTCTTCAAAAATAATAAAAAACAAAAACAAAAAGGAAACTTGTCACTGGCGTTAAAAGAGAAATTCTGTATGAGACATATTGCAAAACTTCGAGAGCTAAATATAACACATTTTCAGCATGAGGTGACAAGAAGAATTATCGCTCCCCTGGACGGGATGTCACGAGTAACTGTCTAATATCTTGACAACCTTCTTCGAAATTTCGCCGAGAACCTGAGAACAATTTGGTGGAGAAAGGAATTTCAAATGTAGCCCGTGTAAGTCACTCCCATCACTCAGAAAAATCGGGAAGGGGCGTCTGTAGACAGGCTATTATAGAGTAAATTGTCTTTCCCAAGAACAGCACACAGTAACCCCGCTCATAGCTCAACTGTATCGTTATATCCATAGTCGTACCCACTCTTCAGCCATGAGATGTATCTAATTATTTCGATTATTAAACCCAATTAGAGCCTGAAACCCAATTGAATTTAACTAACTTTTGCAGAAATGCATTCGAAAGGCCATTCCATTTATTCTTGTTGTGCTTTCTTCATTGCAAGAAAAACAGCGATCAATTATTTGCTCAAGGCTGGTGACCAACGTTCTGAAATGACTTAAAAAAATTACCTGCTTTTCTTAATAGAGTTAGGTGTCCTTAGGGCACTCAAAGGACTTTTGTTTTTTGTTGGTACTTTTCTACTAAAGATCCGTAACGACATCAGCACTTGTCTAAAATTTATGTGAAAATACCAAATGGTCGTTAAAAGGCGTTTTCCAGACATGAATATTAGCTCTGATGAATTGAAAAAGAGAAAGTAGTGCAATTTATATTTAACGACTGGTACCTTGGTTCCGTGGTACACGTAGTTCGCTGCTTTCACCAGATCGTTATCATACTCTTTACTCGTTGAGTTATTTAGTTCACAGTTGTGTGGTTCTGCACCGTTTTCTCCAAAATAAAAGTTAACGCTGACGCAGTTGTGGTCCAAGTAGCAACGATATTCACACGTATCCCTGTCAGTCACACTGATGTTTGCTATGGTGTGGTTAATAAGACGTTCTCCCACGAAGAACAAAGTGGATGGAAATGCCAATATACGGCATTGATCTAAAAATTCAAATCAGTAAGAGTTAAAAAGCAAAATGGGTCATCAATCCTGTGGGTCTCAGGTGTTTTTAGTTTCCCTGTTCGATGCACGTGTAACGATAATTATGAAATATTCACTAAGTTACCGGAGTTCAAGTTGTATTAACAGTAACATCGGGTAAGGTTTTTTCGAGCCTGGAAGATCGCTAGAGGAGGATTTTATGACCTCCAAAAGTTGCGAACTGCAACACTCATGAGCCCAAACTCCGATGAAAAATTCGTCCTCAGAAAACTGCAATTAATTTTTAATGTTATGATATAGGTAAGACGTTTCAATCATGAACTTCCAATTTTTGTACATTATTTCAAATCACGATTTATTATCAAGGCTATTATAACCAAGCGCGCGTTTGCAAGTCCTACCGAACTCCTAATGAGCCATCATGGTGTCTCGACGTAGGCATGGCCGAGCATATATAACACGAGGTTTGCAATTCACTTAAGCAGGTAAGTTCCCGTTTGCCCCCTCCGAGTGGTTTCAAAACTCTCAGATTTTTTTCTGTTCCATTTCGATTGAGATACACCTTTTGAAGCTCAAAATTAATTATGGTAAAAATGCTAGATAATACGCGTGTAAAAAAAAGAAAAGAAAAAAGAAAAAAATTCTTGAGCTCCGTCAATCCACGAAAATACCTTTGTAGATAACGGTTTTTCATTCCCAAACGCTGTACGAGTTATGGCCGTGAAGAAGCAAACTGAGCTTTCTGACCTTAAGTAAGGCTTTGCGACTTTGGAAACTCTCTTTCAGAACAGTAAGTATTCTTTGAGTTGACAAGTCCCAAAAGTGTTGTTGAATTGAAGATATTGATTCAAAACTTACAGTTTTCAGAATTCTCAAATTTTCAACAAACAGCGACACATTCTGGCTGTTGATTCTAATAATAATAATAATAATAAAAACGAATCCAAAATGCTGAATTGGTTATGCGGGTCTCGCAAATGCAGGGAATTCTTTCGTTTTCCGCTTCAAAGAAGCAAATTTAGCTTTTCTTTAAATTAAGCTTTGGTCTCTTAGTATTTATGGGCCGTTTTCGCCTTGCCTTTTATTGTTAGTTTTCGCGTAGAGAGCGATTACGGGCTGAACCCGATTCAATCGTACTAGAAATTTCTCTTTGTGCACAAGCTATATCATCTATGTTATAAAATAATTGGCTCGTGCTATTAGCGAGTGCATGTTGTGTTATGGATCTACACAGGAAATTTAGGGAGCACTCGAGAAGCTAACATTGCTCCTGGCTTCACCTCGACCAACTCACTTCTCTCGTGCTCTGCAAACTTCCTTCGCGCATCCACTTCACGATATACACACGCTGAGCACAAACCATGCTTAATTTCACATTGTGATCTTTATTTTGTTTTTGTTCTGTTTTGTTTTTCCATCATTCGTATCAATTAAACTTGTTTTCGATAAAACGTGAACGTGTTGAATAGATATTTAAAAAGACCCCTACCAAACCGCTATTGAAGTTTAAGATCTTCCCTTCCCTTCATTGTGCATCGATTTAATTGAATTAGGAAAATGTCCCAATAAAGAGTTGTTAATTAATATCACTATGGGAATGGTTACACATTCATAACTTCTATCTGTTAGCCACCTGTCAAGTGAGAAGTTTTAATGCGCCTGGTTATTTGCATTCAGTACTCCTTTTGCATTATTGAAAACATAATTACTTTCCCTGTATATAAACAATTTTCTTTCTGTTTTTATTGGCTATGAAAACCTTATTCTTCAGGCTTCAAATATCGCACAATGCAAACACAGCAGGAGTGCTATAACGAGAAAAATATGCATCGAATTCCGAGTTCTAAAAGTTACACGACAACGTTTTGATCTATGTTTAACACCTGTCTGCATTCTATTTTCAAGGTAAAAATTTTTCGTACAAAAGTTGTCTGAATAAAAAAAATTATATCTACTAAATATGACAACAGTGAATGATAATGTACCCAAGAAAGATATTCTTATTTCACGAGAGAATGTAAAACTAAGGGAATGAAAAGCATTTCATTTCCAATTAGTTAATTCATCAATTTGCCTTTCCTTGAGTGCAGGGCTTTTCATATTTAGAGGATCTTTCTTGCGAAAATCTTGTCATTAATTTTAGATGACCTTGATGAAACTTTAGTTTATTTTTATATGAGTGAGTTTATTATTATATGGGTGTTTCAAAATAATTGAAGACTATAAGCAACGAAACATATCATTAGCTAAGAAGTTGCGAAGATTGCACGCTCATAACTTAAAAAAAACTATGCAACCATACGTTCGCATATAGTGAAAAAGAATCGAGAATATTTTTGAATGAATAAAAGATAACAATGCAATGAATTGGACTATGAGTTTCTTAGCCATTTTATCAATTAGGCCTTTACATGGCTGAAAGTTTTGAAGGAGAAAACTGAAAGTTTCGTATAAACAAATGCAAGATTTGAAACCTACCATCTGGGCAGGATAGAACTTGTCCGTGGGAGAGAGCCACAGAAATAAAGAACAAGTGGAGAAAAACTCCCATGTCCTCAAAAACCAGCTGAAAAAGAAATTCTTTCGATGTTTTGTAGCTGTTGAGCAAATCGAGAAGCTTAACAGCAGTTTGTTGACTGCGATGGATGTACTAGCAATTTAATGTTAGACTTCCTAGAAACATGATAGCCAATCACATTTGGATATATCAAAGATGTCTAACACACCCTCACAGAGAGGCTGTTAGATTGATTGATGTGTATTGAACTACATAATTTTGTTAGTTTTCTCCTCAGGCAGTTATTTCCATCCTCCATTCGCTATTGTAAGGGACCCTTCTTGTAAACGTTTCAGTAATTCATATGCAAAATCAAAAGAAAAAAATTAGTTGAATTCTTTAAAAATGCAAGCGCACAAAAAACCTCCAGAAATTTGCATGTTAAAGATTTCAAATTGCTAACTCTGCAGTATTCTAACCAAATTTTCTCGGAGATTTTCGAGCATATTTTTAGAAAACATGGCTTCACTGAGGCAAACTTCGTTGTTAAGTACCGCTCTCGCTAAGAGCGGTCCTTTCGACTTCCCGTCGAATAAAGTTTTCCTTGATTTTTTTGCCCGTGAAAGAGGTTTTAAGACACGTCTCAAAAATTTGGTTGGGTTTTTGTCCAATTCTCTTCTTTCTGTGTCGCCACAAGCTAAAATTGATTTTTCGGCTAAACCGCCCGTATGGACAGCAATCGAGCGTGCTGTAACTGCAATAATATAGCTCACGGAATTTTCTCTTCATACCATATGGAGGATTTATTCAGTCAGAGTTTAGGTAAAATATGGAAACTTCACATGAAACCTTATTCATACCAGCGTGATCAGAGGATACCCATCTCTTCGAACGTAATTTGTGTAAGATTGTGTAAGGAAGAATTCGTAAAACGTAGGCGTAAATAAGGCTAGAAAAGCATATCGGTGGAAAGTTTATACACCAGTTAGGTCACTGATAGCCTCAAGCCTGCGGGGACACACCTGTCAGAACTATGACGTCACTCGCATTGAAAAATTAGCATGAAGACTTTGACTCCGCAAAAATCGATTGTGTGGTCAGAATTGAAATATGTTTGAGTAACGACTCTAAAAGCGTTGCTCGTTTCTAACAACAGAGGGAAGCGTTGTTCGTTTCTATAACAACAAATGCATGGATGCAGCGTAACATACAAGTAAAGTTCTGTTGTGTCTATTTGTGACTTTCTTAACGACGACAGATGAAAACACCAGGTAAATGAATGTCGATTGTCGCGTTCGACAAGTCGGTAAAAGGTAAAGCGAGTAACATACAAAAAAAGTTAACTTGTTCCCTTGCGTAGGGTAAGTGTGATATTTTTAAGATAATAGTCTATTGTTTATGCTTGTGACTTTTTTCACAGTAGTAGTCTGATAGCATCATTTCCCTTAGGATCAGAATAGGCAAAAATTATTTAGTTGTGCTCTGTTTCCTCTGGCGGTCGCATGTATATTTTGATCCGATCAAAGTATATATTAAGAGGGTAAAGCTAGCTACAATACGAATACGAACTGATCAAAATGAGCATTCATCCTTGCATTGAGTGTGGTGGTGAAGTTAGACCACGTCAACAAGCCCCCCAGTGCGACGATTAGGGTCGATCATATGGCCTTTCTGACCATATGATCGATTTCTGTGTAGTCAAAGTCTTCATGGCTTTATTAGAAACCAAGAAAAAGTTTCTCAAGCTTACGAAATGCCCGTGAGTAAGAAACGAGTACGTACCAAACGAACAACGCTTCATTTTTTTGTCAGAAACGGAGAACGCTTCCCTTTGTTGTTAGAAACGAACAACTCCTTTAAAATCGTTACTCAAACATATTTCAATTCCGAACAGGCATATGATCGATTTCTGTGTAGTCAAAGTCTTCATGGTATTGTTAAAAACCAAGAAAAAGATTCTTAAACTTACGAAACGTCCGTGAGTAAGAAACGGTTACATACCAAACGAACAATGCTGCATTTTGTTGTTGGAAACGAACAACGTTTCCCTTTGTTGTTAGGAACGAACAACGCTTTAAGAATCTTCATGGTGTTGTCGGAAACAAAGAGCGCTTCAGTGATAAAAATTTCTCAACGTTATTGCCTATTAACAGTCTGAAATTCTAATCTTTTCAGTATTTGTTTCTTCGGGCTTGACTTTTTTTTTCGGGCGACATAACTAAAATTTCGGGCAACATGACTCAGGTTTCGGGCGACATGACTTCGGGTGAGATGACTCTCGGGCGACTAAACTGTAAAACCCTTGAGCAATTGTGAAAATAAGACCTGAGAAAAATTCAGGCTTGTAGTGATCTACAACCTTACATTGCTCAGGTTCTTCTTGTAAGCATTTTGCTAGTTTAATTGAAAAATTATAAATGATTTGCCTGTCTCAGTCCCTAATGGGAGTAACTGTGCCATTCGACTTGAGAGTGGTATACAAATTCTCCAATGAGTTTTTTAATGAAATCCTGTTTGTTTGTCGCTACAGTTTTCCTAAAGAAAAAACGTGGCAACTTTTCCCTCTCGACCTTTCCCTCTCTGTGAGCACTTTAGGGAAATTCAGCATTTTAATAGCCAATTTGATAAATGCGAGAAATATAAAGTATTCTTCGTTGTTTTCGGTATTCAAAACGTCCTCTTCGTTTTCTCCAAAGCAAATTAAAATCTGGGAATTCATTCCATGTGGCGCCATTTCTCCGGACAGGAAGATGTTTCAGTCTTCCATGGGTTTACCGGCAAAATGAACGATGGATTTTTGACCAGTCAGAGCGAAGTTGTGTCTAAGTCATGTTATAGATAAATAATTGTGACGGCGGAAGTTGGAAAGCGGCGAAAAAAGGGATTATGTAGATGAACAGAACTATAATAGCTCTGCATGGGGCCTTTATTAACTTAGTCTAATCTGCATTGAACACTGTTAAATTATTTGCAATGTCTGAAAACTGGAATATCGACAGAAAGTGTAATCATTTTTCAACTGTAATCTCAACGTTGCCTGTATAAGTTGTGTTGAGCAAGAGATCTGAAGCTGTCGGTGCATGTAAACAAGGTGCGGTTAATGAAAGTTTCCTTTTGTAAACGACGTTTTTCTGAACGTCGCCGTCGTGACTACTTGTATTTGTTTAATATTTTTTTTGAGGAACCGACGTTGAATTTTTGACTTAAATGAAAGGAGCTAGTGCAATCAGTGCAGTCAAAGCTTTCGAAGCATTTCTGCTTACGTACTGAGAAGTGATTTCTTCTGCAGACCGATTAACCCGATGTTATGTCGCTAGTTTAGGTAAATTTTATTTCGGTTTAACTTAACTAAACATAATTCTAACGGTGCTATTCTCATTTCCCCCCGCCCCCACCTTAAATTTATCTCTTAATATAACATTCTTTGCACAGCTTCAATTGGCAAAACGCTAACGATACCATTTTAAGAGAAATATTTACGTTCTTCCCTTCTCCTCAGTACTTTTGACTGTTACTTCAAGGTACACTTTATCATTTCTTTCCCAAAACTTTCGGAAGCTTCATGTGATAAACCCATAATTTTGTAGCTTAAATTTTATATTATTTTAAGTTTCAATCAGGGATGACAACATTAGTCTTTAGCTTCGATAAATATTGATGTTGTGTCGACTCAGGCACTTTAATTCCGTTCTTAAATATTGATTGAGATTAGTTATTTATAACCCTTTCGGCTTTGTGAGCTTTTCAAGCCATTCATTTGCAATTCTCGTTAATGCGTAACGGTTGTGATCGAGATAAAACCTCATTTTGCGAACAGATATCCAACTTTAAAGGGATTTACTTCTACAGAAAGATCTTGGCCAAATTCTGCTCATCGGTGAAAGGTTGGCGTTTTCAGGTTTACATTCACTAAATAATTTCGCCATATCGTTCGCTGTGTTTTAAATTTTTTTATTTTATGTTTGTTATCAAGCATAGCGAACTCAGTGATTCCTTTTGTTAGTCAGAGCATCAGAAGAAATATGTTAGCTTAGAAACATGGCTAATGTTACCAATAAGCCGTAACTGCGCTGGAAAGCCTTCGGATTTTGCACAAGCATTGCAAAAGTGATTTCTATCATTGTTAGATTAAGAATGTAACACTAATCTGGGCCGCGCAGGTAAGGCGCGATGATATTAACTTGAAACACTTGATTTTTATGGGATTTTTTAGTTATACGACTAGCTATGTCATCCACTTTTTCCTAAACAACCGTCTTCTACCGTAGATAGTTTCGCTCAATCTGAAGCAGATACAATGCACTTTGAACGCTTTGAACAGAGAACGAATTGGGTTACTGATTAACTTGGAATTTCTCACTCGAGGATAATTGCATTTCTTTGAGTACACCTGCACAACGATCATGTTTTTAAAATCATTAACAATATTCTACTAATCGAGAAACAGTACATTTCACGAAAAAAAGAAGCTTTGCGCATGTTTTGTCACGATTGTTTTGATTACTCTCAAATGTAGTATTTATGCTCTTCGAAATTGAATTTTTTTCCATCGCGTTTGTCACTTTCTAGGTACTGATTGCTGAGCGCGAGGCAGCCATTTTGAATTTAAGCACGCCTAAGTAATATATAGATTTAGCCAAGCCTAAAAGTGGAGCTTGCATTTTTTTCCCCGCACGTCTCAAGGGCACAACGCCTTGCCTCGGCCAGGACTAGAACCCGGGTCGTCCGACTCGGTGCCCAGTGCACTGACCACTGGACTACTGAACAAAGCCGTGGCATTGACGTGCCCGCGGTACAGTTGACTACGCATGTTAAAGTAGTACCTTGTACGGCACAATTTTACTGTCTTTGGAAAATTTACTCGTACTTAATAACACCAAATTGCACTCAAAATCATGTTGTTTCCTATGCTAATTTTTCAATGCGAGTGACGTCACATTTACTGACAGGTGTGCACTTCAATTCGCCTGCTTGGTGATAACTGTACTCATACTTCTACCGTATTGAATCCCCTTATTTCTTGTAAGTTTCTTATTCAACTACAGTTTTTCGGAGGAAGAAAGGAATAATTCGCATCATAACAACAAATAAACTAACAAACTTTTGCAACATGAAAGCGATCTTCGCAGTAATGAACACTACTCAAGCAATAGTGAAAAGAAGGCCTGAAAAAATTTCAGGCCTGTACGGGATTTGAACCCATGATCTTTGCGATACCGGCACAGCGCTCTACCAACTGAGCTAACAAACCAACTGGGAGCTGGTCACTGTTGATTCCAAGCTCCCAGTTTAACCGCACTTCAAATATATGACCTTTATATATTCATAGCCGTTTAAAACTTTTGCAACTTCAAAACATTCATTTGAATTTACTCACGGTGAATTTCCTTGCCATTCAAAAATGAACGGAGCAAAATCTGCGAAGATTTCTTGTTTTGGAAGTGAATGAAACTCTTCCTTGGATCATTTGGCTATTTGAAGAAAATCTCGTTGTAATATTCAACCAGCTCAAGTTTGCTTGCTACGCTGATAAGACATACTGTTGTTTTTTCAAAAGTGCAAGCATTTTTTAAATTGACAGCTGTCAAAAGATGTCTCAAAGTTTGTTTGGGAGCCTTTTAAAACAACTGAAGTGGAGATGTGTCGGTGAAACATCTTCCTTTCAATGACTGTGAATATAGGAAAACCATAGATGTGAACTAAGGTTTTTTAACAAATGAACGGAAAGCGATTATCGCAGTTATAAACATTACTTAAGAAGTAGTCAAAATAAGGCCTGAGAAAAAGTCAGACCTGTAGTGATCTACAACCTTACATTGCTCAAGTTCTTCTTGTTAGCATTTTGCTAGTTTAATTGAAGAATTATAAATTTTTTACCAGTCTCGGTCCCTAATGGGAGTAACTGTGCCATTTGACTTAAGAGTGGTATACAACTTCTCCAATAATTTTTTTAATGAAATCCTGTTTGTTTGTTGCTACAGTTTTCTTAAAGAAAAAACGTGGCAACTTTTCCCTCTCGACCTTTCCCTCTCCGGGAACAATTTGGGGAAATTCAGCATTTTAATAGCCAATTTGATAAATGCGAGAAATATAAAGTATTTGTCGTTGTTTTCGGCATTCAAAACGTCCTCTTCGTTTCCTCCAAAGCAAATTAAAATCTGGGAGTTCATTTCATGTGGCGCCATTTCTCCGGACAGGAAGATGTTTCAGTCTTCCATGGGTTTACCGGCAAAATGAACGATGGATTTTTGACCAATCAGAGCGAAATTGTGTCTAAGTTATGTCATAGATAAATAATTGTGACGGTGGAAGTTGGAAAGCGGCGAAACAAAGGATTATGTAGATGAACAGAACTATAATAGCTCTGCATGGGGCCTTTATTAACTTAGTCTAATCTGCATTGAACACTGTTAAATTATTTGCAATGTCTGAAAACTGGAAAATCGACGGAAAGTGTAATCACTTTTCTACTCTAATCTCAACGTTGCCTGTATAAGTTGAGTTGAGCAAGAGATCTGAAGCTGTCGGTGCATGTAAACAAGGTGCATGCGGTTAATGAAAGTTTCCTTTTGTAAACGGCGTTTTTCTGAACGTCGCCGTCGTGACTACTTGTATTTGTTTAATATTTTTTTTGAGGAACCGACGTTGAATTTTTGACTTAAATGAAAGGAGCTTGTGCAATCAGTGCAGTCAAAGCTTTCAAAGCATTTCTGTTTACGAAGTGATTTCTTCTGCAGACCGATTAACCCGATGTTATATCGCTAGTTAAGGTAAATTTTATTTTGCTTTAACTCAACTAAACATAATTCTAACGGTGCTATTCTCATTTCCCCCCGCCCCACCTTAAATTTATCTCTTAATATAATATTCTTTGCACAGCTTCAATTGGCAAAACGCTAACGATACCATTTTAAGAGAAATATTTACGTTCTTCCCTTTTCCCCAGTACTTTTGACTATTACTTCAAGGTACACTTTATCATTTCTTTCCCAAAACTTTCAGAAACTTCATGTGATAAACCCATAATTTTGTAGCTTAAATTTTATATTATTTTAAGTTTCAATCGTGGATGACATCATTAGTCTTAAGCTCCGATAAATACTGATGTTGTGTCGACTCAGGCAATCGTGGGAACCCTTTCCTGTACCTGCTATCAGATTAATAATGGTAACGGGACCGAGTGGAGTCCAATTCGGTCCGTAATCACACGAGTGATTAACAAAATCGGACGACCGCGAAGTTATCACCAATCAGGCGAATTGAAGTGCACACCTGTCAGTAACCATGACGTCACTTGCATTGAAAAATTGCCATAGGAAACAACATGATTTTGAGTGCTATTTTAAAAATCCCCCATCTCTTGGCATAATTCTGTAAAATATCAGCCACTCGAAAGGACTATATTTCTGGTCGAATGTTATTTGCAGTGAAATGATTTGCCGAATTGGTCTAAGGATGGTTCTTCTCGTTGCATCTTTATTTATCGTCCACCTGCTGTCTGCAACAACCGCTGAACAGTGTGGAACGGAATATTCCATTTTCGGCATGATGTTGATGAGACACAATTTTAAGACGATGAAAACGTCTAGCGCAATGGAGTGTTTACATGCTTGTAGGGACGACGTGAGGTGTCAGAGCCTGAACTACGTCATGGGGGAAGATAGCTGTGAGTTGAATGACCGCACCAATAAGGCCAGACCTGAGCATTTTGTGCCAGATCTATTCCGATATTATCTTACACGAGACAAGAATAGGGGTGAGTTATTGCTTTATTTAAAACATACTCTAGAAACTACAGTCGACTAAACTACAAAAAGAGAAAGAACCGTTGGCGTATTCCATGGTATCACATGGACCCATATGCCAGCAAGGCACTCGAGTAGAAGACCGGATCCCCGTACACAGCAGTTCACTGATCATAAAAGCTTTTTGTGTAATTTTACATACAATACAAAATGTAGGCTTTTTCCTCTCCCTGTTATTTTTCTTTGAACACTTTCTTTAGGAGGGCCTAATTGAGGTGATGGTTTTTTACGGCTGAAAGTTAAACTTTTAGCCACTTCTTTTTCCGTTATGTTTTAAAGCAAAACTTTGACGGCTGTCTATTTTACGACAACTGCTAAAATTTACTGGTTTTTATGCCCAACGGCTAAATTGTTTTTGCTGTGTTACGGCTAACGGTTAAACCCATTGAGACCCTCTTTAGAGACATTATTCTTCATCCTTATGGAGCCAGCCAATTTCTTTTTTAATTCTGATCCCTCTGATATTTTCTTCCAGTCCCTCTCGGTTCCATACCGGAGGTACCTGCGGAGACATGTAGAGAAATCAAGTTGAGTGAAGGTCACACAATCAGTGGCAGCTATTGGTTGAATTCGATTGTTAATGGCAAATCCCTACTTGCTCAGTGTGATATGGAGACAGAAGGCAAGTTGAGCTGTATTGAAACCTCTCGTTTTAGGTAACTGTTTTCGGGGGGGGGGGGGGGAAAGTTTCTGAAACTGTTGGGCTACGCCAGTGGGAGAGTATAACAGGGTAATTTAGTCATCGTTAGAGCAAATGACTAAGGGCTAACGCTCTAAACGTCAGCTTTGAAGAAAAAGTAAAATTAAATGACAAGGTGATGCTACCATAACCTTTGAATCTGTATCGAAGTCTCAGAGGTGTTTCATGAATAAACTTGCAAATGTGGAACTTTCATTGTGAGAGCGTACTTTTTTAAAATATGAAATGCTTTGTCTATGATTTTTTCGCGATTTGCCTCATCAGACGTTGACGAGTGTAGTGCTGACGTCCATATTTGTGGCTCTAATGCAAACTGCACAAATACCAACGGCTCTTATTACTGTTCCTGTCATTCTGGTTTCACTAGAAGTGGCAAAGAATGTGTAGGTAAGGACATTATGTATAGATTACTTTTGAAATTACTTATTCTTTTTGTGTGGGACACACAGAAGGCCTCTTGTTAGAGAACTTTGCTAATTTTTATAAACTGCTCGTCGTACAAGTTCACTTCATGTTCAGTACTTGTTCGTCATCTCTCTGTCAGATTTCTTCCACCATGTTCCTCTTGATCGACTTCCTTACAGACTATCAGTAGTATATCCGAGGATGACTCTCAACAGGGCTGTTGATGTTCTATAGAGTACATCATCTGCCCATTGATATCTCTTTTGTCATATTTTCTTAGTCAGCTCTTCATTTTGGACATATGACTTTCATCATCTACAGTAGCGTCCCTTTTTTCGTATTTTTCGTTGAATAGGCATCAAGCAGTCTTCATATACAAGGCTGATAATCCAATAATGTAACAACCCACAGCCATATTTTCTTCTCAAGGCAAATACAAAGTCGATCTCTATTTATGAGAGATAAAATTTTTACCTCCTAATAATGTTGGTATTCTGTGATCAAACATAATGTTTGAGGCAAGCTTGCCACCACTCCAGACGTAACTGTCATGGCTAAGAACAGTTTTTGTATCCATGTGGATGTTTGATATTTTAAAAACCGCACAAATGTTAAAATTGTTTCATAGCTAAGATAAGCAAAGTCACATAGTTTTTTTTTCCAGATGACAAATATCTAAAATCAATTCCGAAGGAACTTCTTTTGTATCCCTTAGGGAAAAAAGTCTTTCTGCGGATTGGACTTTTTAAAACCAGTTTTATCTTAGTTCCCTTGTTTTGCATCTGGAGATGACAAAAATCGTTTACCCAGGAAAGACTACTCCATTAACTGTTCAGTATGAACAGATAACTTTTTATATTTCACAGATATAGATGAATGTACAGCTGGTGTTCACACTTGCCTTCGTGGAACAGCCACGTGCATTAACACTATTGGTTCGTACAACTGTTCTTGTAACCTTGGTTACGTAGGGGATGGAAGAACAAGTTGTTATGTGCAGTCAGCCGGTTAGTAGTTTTTTCTTTTACAAGTAATGTGAAATAATTTTACTTACAATTGCAGAGGCTAGCATTTTTTTTTTCATCTTATACTATCTCAGATATTTTCGTCTGACTTTAGATGCTTCACTGAAGATTGCTCTTCTTTATTTTTTAGAAATTAGGGCGGGTAATGATTCAGAAGAGTGAGTCGTGAGCCGTACATATAAATATTTTATCTCAAAGAAAATAAGAATGATAATTTTACTCGAATTGAGATTCAAAGCTCTTTCCCACGCACATGATCAGAGGAGAAAATATCTAAATAACAGATTAATGAACTAATAAAATGTATGAGACAAGAATATTGTCAATCATTTCGAACTGTGTTGAAGCGATTGAATTACCTAAAAAGCATAAAAACAGCGATACCAGGAAGGTAAAATACTGGTGGGAGTAATGACAATGAAAGAAATGAACCGAAACAATTATGAGGTAACGTTACTGTAACTCTCTTGCTGTGTATTTATCTTCTTCTTCAGAATGTCAAAATCATGCAAGTCTTACAGAAGCTAACAGGAAAGAAACGTTCACCGGAGTTCTTTTATGCGACAATTCACTCGGTCCAAATTGGTTTCGTTTCCAGGGAGCAGCCGGGAATAAAATGGCTGCCACATGTGTTCCAACTCACCGCTGTGGAACGCATGCAACTGGTTGGTTAAACGGGGTTCATCCTACAGTGAGCGAGGGTATAGTCACCAGGCAGGTCTGCTTTAATTGGTCAGGAGGATGCTGCGTCTGGTCCATCAACATCCAAGTAAGGAATTGCAATGGATATTTTGTGTATTACATCAGTGGTACACCTCCAGTGCATCCCTGTCATCTGCGGTACTGTGGTGCTGACTAGATTGTCAATGAAAACAATACGAAGCGCGTTTTTCTTATGGACGCTGTAAATCTTCGACTGATTTCATCCTAAAGGATCTTTCTCTGGCTGTGAAACGAAAGTGGTATAGGTAGTCATGGTTTTTGAACTCGCAGAAAATTTTTTTCTCGAACAAATAAGGATACCAAATTTCTTTGACATTATTCAAGCAGATTAAGGGGGAAAATGTTAATGAGCAACAGATCGGTGAATAAAATGATCAAATTTTTAAATGTAAATAACGAATAAGGCGAAGGCTTACAAACACCTACCTAAGTTTAAAGTATATTAATGTCGGATATCAACCTTTGTTCCCTTAAACCCAGTCGTTCGAGGGTTTTTATTCTTCGCCTGTGGCCGTGTTAACAATGAATCCATGTTTAGTCTTCAATCACAAATCAGTGCTAAGCTCTAAATTCCCAGAGCAGTTGTGATAGCCTCACTAAATGATTTACAACTTATTGTGCTTTAGTGAAATAAAGACAAATAAAAATAATAAAAAAGTGAACAAATTTGTGAAATAGAGACAGATAAAAAGTTAGCCAAATTTGTGAAAAATATATTGTTGTTTGAATAACGCAACATGGCCGCCGGTTGTAAGACCTATAATAATAATAATAATAATAATAATAATAGTATTTAACAAGGGAGCCCAACTCGCCACAGCGGTTTTTATAATAATAATAATAATAATAATAAATAAATAAAATAAAATGTGTTTATAAATAAATTTAAAAAGAGTCAAAATCTTAAAATTGATAACCAATCGAATATCAAAGTTTAAAATTAATTAAAATCTTTTTAAAAAGTTTTCAGCTTGTATTTAAAAATAGATAGGAAATGTGTTTCTTTCAGATCAGTTGGAAGACTGTACCAGTCTCTCGCAGCTTGATAGATAAATGTTTGTTTACCCCAGTACTCCCCAGTTAGTTCGAGGAAGGGGTAAACGAAGATCATTGGAACGTCTTGTGTTATATGAATGAACAGCTTGATTTTTGATGAAATTAAAGTTAAAATCAGTTTCCCCAATCAGACACTTGTAGATTGCAATGCAGCGATGAAAAAACCTTCTTGCGGAGAGTGACTTGAGATCTAAACTCCTCAGTGCTTCGGTTGACGAGCTTCGGGGTGGGTGCCCCAGCAGAACTTTAGCAGCTTTATTCTGCAGGATCTGTAATTCTGACATTATGGTGTCATTGTTCTGTAACCTTTAACCGGGTTGGCAGTCAATTGCCCTGTTGAGTTCACAGGCGGGTAATCTACTGAGGACTGGAACCCGGTTTCCCTTCACCTCCTATATTGCATAAACATATATTTTGATTCAAACCATTCTATCAACCTTATCAAGGTTGATAGAATGGTTGTTATCTGATGTTTTGCCCAGCCCCAAAACGAAGATTTTTCCTTCGATACTGATTTAGTGGAAATCAATTTTTTTATACCGAATCGAAATTTATCTTTGCAAGTGGTGTTGTATGGTCCTCTTTGCTGGTGCACTACAGAGGAATTGTATCAGCCAGTGAGACAATTTAGTGGCTATTTCACAACTGGACTTTATTTCTACAAATATCATGTGCTGTGAAGTGTAAGTGTTTCTCAGTAAATAAAAATAATAAATGATAGAAGCTTACTACTCAATATTTACGATATTTTAAAAAGTCCCGATGAAAAAATAAAAAAAAAAACAAATAAATAAATAAATAAACTGGTAGATATGGTTCCGTTGTATCACTTGGTCCATCTGAGAGCCTATCCTGGTACTCAATTGTTATCTTAATTATTGTTTAAATCTTTGGCAAACAGCATTAGAGTATGACTTTAGAAGAGGTGAATCGTCCGATTCCTCTCGAATCGAGTCGATTCGACGACATTTTCAACCCTGCCTCGTAGCAGGTTGAAGAACATTTTCTACTTCTTGAAAATCGGCTTCCGGTATGACATTTCACATCAAGAGGGACGATTTAATCAGATTTTCGGTATCACAAGACTACTTAACCGCGAATTAACCTCCGGAAGATCGATGCTTCTTATTGATACATATAGCTAAAGATCAACCTTATTTGAGTCGATCCAAACACTATTGTCACTATCATTGTTACCAATATCACTATCATAACTGTGAAACTATTGTCATACCATTTCCCGTGTGTATCGCGTTTAGGTTTTAATTACCCGTGAGTGTTTGTATGTTTTATTAGTTACGTTGTGTACTTGAAGTTGATGTTTATATCGTTGTATATAATCACTTAATTTATGTCAAGTAATTTATCATGTTTTTTTGTATAAATTTAGTCCTTTGGATCAATATTTACGTCCAGTCTTAAGAAGCAGCCTCGCCGTATTTTAAATGCCTGTAAGGCTATGCACCGCTAAGGTGAATGTTTTTCTTTATTGTGAGCTTATTCATAAGATGCAAAGAATACCCAGACTTCCCCAACCAAAATGAAATAATCATTGACTCTTATTTCACTAAAAGTTTTATTCCTTTATACTTTTATTTGGTATATATTTCCCTTCTCCTGCAGCTTTTAAACGGAAGTGCATTCTTACTACTTTTAAATTCATCTGTTTGTTGGACGTGGATATCGCTAATTTGGCCGCAAAATGGTCACTTATCACAATTGTTACACATATTCTTCCTTTTTTCTTAGAAACTTTGTCGAAGTCTTTGCATAAAAAGAATTTTTCTCCTTTGACCAATTTAAGAAAATAATCCATTAGGTTTCTTGAGGGTCTCAATGGGGTGATGGCTTTTACGGCTAAAGGTTAAAATCTTGGCCAATTTACGGCTTACGGTTAACACCTTTCCATTGTTTCCACCAGACATATTTTTACGGTAAACTTTTTTTTACGGCTAACGGTTAAAATTTGTCAATTTTTACGCCTAACGGCTAATGGTTAACTCCACTAAGACCCTCTTTCTACAACTGTTACTTTAAAGCTTGCATCAGATTTTTTCCTTCTGTTTTTATAGAGATACTTCGTAAATATACGTCCATTCCACTTTAAATCTTGCATCGGCTCATCATACTTTAGGTTGCCTAAATTTCAATCTCATTTTACTACGCCTCTAAATAAAGTAGACAGGGTTGTCCCCCGAATTTCTCTCGATGCAAGAATTATAGCAAGCTAAGACAACATTCCAAAATTTGCCAGATATAATTTTTTACCCTGTTTCTTGTGGGAAATTAAGAATCTTAGCCGACTAAACAGATCATCACTGCAGTATAAAATAAGCTTTTCGGTAAAAGCCACTGAGCTACTTCGTTCTATTTTTCCCAGAAAGAGGCCAGCGTATAAGTGTGTTTTGAACCAATGCCTACGGGAAGAAGACCCCTCGATTTTCATTGCACTTCAATAGTTTGAATGTAGTATGTTGTCCATACATAACCGATATCCCAGACATTAACTGCTGCCAACATACTTACCCTAACTCGTAATAGATTTCTACTAACGTTGTTAGGGTCACCGAAGTAATAGGAAAATTTCCCCCACACACGCACACTTGGTAAACAAACCTTCGACAAGTCAGACAGTTGATTAGAGCCGATCGAAAAGTACAAATTTTCACTTGAAACTGCTGACTGATCGCTGTCTCCAAGATGCTTTACAACAAATGAACACTTTTCTTAACCAACCACATTGACAATCTCAAGTGCGAGAATTAACTTTGGATAATAGTTTTATGACTTCTGCGAGGAATTATTTTTGGTACACGACAAATTAAATACTGGTGCCATGTTACTTGTCCCAGCCTCCTGTTTAATTCACTTTTAGTGTTCTGGGTGTCGCCAGAAAACGCTAGTGTTTTGGGTACGGGGATACCCAAAACTCAGGGATATCCGAAACACCGAGACACCGCGCACCGCTCTGTGATATTGCTGCCTGGTTCAAACTGGATCTATTCCATTGAGTGAAAAGCTGATCATTTCCATCGAGCCATTTCATCTGAACTCCATGTTATTAAAAACGAGCAACAGTCAGAAAAATAGATACGTCAAGCTTCACTGATTAGTTTGTACTATCAAAAAAAAAACAAGACAGCGACAACAACAAAAAAAAAAGGAATACGTTAAGATAAATGAACGTTTAATCGTTTGTCTCACGATCAAAGAGTCAGGCTAATCAATCGTGTATCGGATCGCGACCTTTCGACTCCTATGCTGCACGTCCTCGTTAGCATTTATCTATGAACCACAAGGGCAAGAACGCAATTAAAAGTTTTGACATATCTAAATACTAGAATGTTATAACCAACCATGGGTGCTTAGTTTTCATGTGAGTAAGTTTTTAAAGAAACTCTGGTGCTGCGTCGGTGGGAGAGTATAGCAGGTAATTTAGTGTTAACAACTGAGTTGAAAACGAAAATTGGCCACAGTACAGAGTTAAAAGGCTGGCGTTTCGAGCGTTAGCTTTTCGTCAGAGCGATTGGAGGAATTGTGGGTTGTAGTGACGAGAAAACAATAATAAATTAGTTGAATGAAAAGCGCTCGTTGATACCGTGGGGATTAAGAGTGCCGATTTGGAAGATAAATTTTTGTTCTAGCGCTTTGCGGCTTTCCGAACTACCTAGATGTAAGGAAAGGCCGCAAACTGCCATATGTTGTTTAGATTGATTAGGGAGATTGAAGTGTCTAGCGAAGTGTTTGGATGCGTCCTCGTCATTTAATTCTACGTCACGAAAGTGTTCTCGGAATCAGTCACCTAATCGTCTTCCTGTTTCACCAATGTATAACTTATAGCAATATTGCAAAATTGTAATATAATGCGATGTGTGCATAGTTTTAGTTTTAAATTCAGTGCGCTTTACGAGAAATTCAGATAAACGTTTTCCCTGTTTTACCCCGCGGCAAAAATAACCGGAACTATACCGAGATAAATGGCCCCTCCCTTTTGCGATATTTAGGGATTTTTTTTTACCTTAATATTTTATTCAATATTTTTCCTAGTTTTTGTCTTTTTTGTTTTGTTTTTTTTCCTGTTTTCGTATTTTTTTTGTTTGTCTTTTTCTATAATTTTGTTTTTTCGTTCTATTCCTTGGTTTTTGTTTGTTTGTTTGTTTTTTTAATTTCCTTTTTCTACCATTTACTCGTAGTTATTTCAAAGCCCTTAAACACTACCTTCACTTTAACTTCATGCAAATTTTGCCTCTCATCAGATTATTATCTATGACTCATTAATTTCAATTGCCTTCGTCTTCCGTGAATTTATAACAGCGTCGTTGATTCTTTGTTTTTCTTTGTCCATCAACATTCATCTCCTTCCCTAGATAAAAATCAACTATGAGTTACACACCGACATAAAGGCACCTTCTTTCCTTACCAACAAAATAATGGCCAATACAGGACAACTTTCACTTTCTTTGCAGCTTGCTGTCCTTCACTTAGGCATTATTGTTATGGGTCAAGACTTTTGACAAACGTGTATATTTTTGTGATAGAGCTGAAAAACTTTTGCATTTGTCTCCTCTCTTGATTTCTCAAATTAGAGTGTGCGGACTACAAAGTTCTGGACAGTACTGACAGAAACATTAATTACGAAGCAGGGTGGGAATGTGACGACGATATCGTCCGAGGATGGTTCCGTTTCACCGGAGCAGCAGG